GCCCACTCTGAAAATCGGAATTAGGGAATATACAGGTCTGTATGCTGGTTCCAAAAATATTGTTTGCAAGCTGATTTTCTTCAGGAATTGTACTTCTGATTACTGGAATTAAACAAAACTATCAACCCTGTCAAACTACACTATGCAATAAACCCCCACACTACAGCGAAGACATTTTGCAGTCAATATTTTCATACGCCGAACTGAGAACCCCCGCATATTCAAACACTCTCTATCTCCATAAACTGGACATAAAAACACACATCAAGATTCTTAGAAGAGTCCGACTTTAAGCTTATTTTGTGTTTAAAAGTCAGATATTGTACGTATAAGAGAAAAAATAAACGAATCATCGAATCTTAGTGTTTTATTGGATAACAAAATAGTGAAAGAAGTTCAAGCAACCGATGAGGGTATAAACAGTCAACTTCTTACGACAACAAGTATGTGTATGTCTATTTTAGTAAAACATGAATATTAACAAGCCTTATTCATGTATGAACAATTTACTGCTCTGTTCGTTTTCCAACATGTTTCAACAACGCTGAGCTACAAACCTATGAATGGGTCATTCTATATGTCCGTGTTAAATCTGATATTATGTTGCAATTTTAGAGCACTTTCATTATTTCCCAGGAATAGTTAGGCTTAAGTATTGGAAATGACCAGCCAAACAAGCAAAAACGGTTGAAAACAATTTAAAGGATGCCTCTTGTCAGAGTACACAAGTCAGGTGTAACAGGGACAGGAAAGTTTGTCAAAGTCGGATCACAAATTTATAGAATGGTCCAAATCTTAGGATTCATATATTCGGGACCATTATGCCCTCCCTTATCGTCTCTTAAATTCTACAGTCGTATACCACAGCGAAAATTTTTTATCTTATGTAATTTGATTTTTATCGTGTACATTTTAGGCTATAATTATCATCACCGTTTTCACGAAGAGTTACAAAATAATGTAGATTCTGAAGAAAAATTAATTTCCGAGAGATCACCCTAGAAGCTTCTTCTCTTTCAAAACTGCACAAGTACCAATATGGAAAAGTTTATGCAGTAAGAAGCCCTTGTGTGATTCTTTAGGAGGTAAATTTTTGCTGACACCAAGTACATGTAATTAAAATGAACACAGTCTGTTAGTGGAATCGAAAATCAATGTTTTCCTACTTTTGGGCCATTCTGTGCAGTGTATTTTTCCAAAGGGAAGGGCACGTGGTCGCCCTGGAGGGACATCGCCATTCGTCAATATTGGCCACCTAATTTACGACCCGATGTTCCGTTGCGAATTTGACGCCAATAATTCCCGACCAAATTCACGACTCGCTCTATGGTCGTGAATATTGGCGTCAATATTTGCAACTGAAGAGAAAGTCAAGAAGTTTGGTCGTAAATATTGACCACCATAGGTACACGTGTTCACGCGCATGCTGCTGTAAATACAACGAAGATGTGTGACTCTTCATGGAAAACAAAAATCTTACTTGATTTTTTTCCGGCTTTTCCAGTCAATACGTTTTGTACGTGTGCGAGGGGCAGTAAAATTTGTGTCTCTTCGTGAAAATACACTTATTGAGATTTTGGCCCCTAACAACAAGAATGTAATCGAAGTTGATAAAATGCTACTTCGACATCTGGGGCTTTTCGTGAAAACGGGTGATGTTATTTAATGATCCTCAAGTATTCCATTGGACACGGCCAAAGAAATCAGGTCAATTGAACTATGTAGTTATAAAATCGTTCCGACATGTCAGTGGTGGGCTACCCCATTAACGAAACAGATCGTGAAGCTTGTTCTGCATGGTTTTTCCAGAGATGTCCGACGACAAGCGGAATAAGGATGAAAACTGACGTACAGCCGACGACGATGTATGCTACGTCATAACTCCCTGTTGTGTCATACATCCAGCCTGTATCAGAGAAGCAACAATTGCACTCGTACCACTTACAATAGTAATGAATTACTAAATCCATCCTTACTCACTTTTGTTGGTCTAAAACTTTGTGCCACCTCAGCATGTGAAAAATGTGGATGCTCGAATTGAATACACACTTTCTTTATAACTTTACCTGGGAAAAAACCACCAAGAAGCCTGGGCAGAAATCCAAAGGCTCTAACCCACGCAAACGCAGTCGTCAGTCGTTCCATTCCAAAAAGTTCTTTCGTCAGAACGTCAACAAGGGTATGCAAGGCTGAAATGGACAGCCCGAAAAGGACGTTGTTGACGGCCGTACCCGCGACGCTGTTCACCCAGGGGTCCCCAACAAACGACACGGCTAAAATAAAATTACTCCCGACTACGCTCGACAAGCAGCTGACGAGACCTCGGTCTACAAATGGAGCCCAGACACCTGTCCCAATAAAG